TTCAGTTGAATTTGAGAATGAATTAAAATTGTTTGTGTTTTTTGGGAGAGTATCCCAAGTTCGAGAGAGTATCTCGTATTCTTCCCATTCGTTCACGCTTCCCCTACATCACATTCTCTTCTTCCCGTACGACCAAGTCTGCCAGTTTGAATACTTGTTGCGCGATTTTGACGTGAGATTTTCCTCACGATCACCTCTCGATGTTCATAAATCCCGGCCAAGCAGAGTATTATCCTCAACTCCTCTCTTTATCACTCTCATCGCAGCATTCTGTTCAGTTTTTTTTAAAAAAAAAAAACAAAAAAGAGAAGAAAACGTACCTGCAAATTTCTGCCGGCAAAGCTTCCTCGCCATTGATTCTGGCGACGTGAGCTCCTTGTACAACCGCCGCTACGTCCGACAAGCGCCGGTTACGAACAGCTTCTCATGCCATCATCACCATCCCGTAGCTGATCGCCCTATCCGCGACTACAAATCGTTGTTGCCCACGCGAGACCGCCGGCGAGCTCCTCCCATCTTCTTCGGCGTCCTCTCATCGTAGCAGCCCTTCTGTCATCACCAAACCACTGTTACTAGCTTCTTGCCAACGCCTGCGAGCTGCCTCCGTTCAACGCGACGCCTGCAGCCGTCCACCATTAAATCCGGCGAAGCCTTCCACTTCCGGCCAACGTCGCGTTTTTCCGATCAGCCTCAGTCCACGAGCAGCATCTCGGTTTGAGCATCGAGCAGCCCTTCAACGAGCTTCAGTTTCGATTTTCGAGTCCCGTTTGTTCGATCATTCGGCCAGTTTGTCCGTTAGCCGTTCGTTCGACCCGTTGTCCGAACCATTTTTCGTCCGATAGCTCGTAGATTCCCAAAGACGGGTAACTTATTCGAACCTTCTCGTTATTCCGGTCGTGCTCGTATATCACATGTTAGATATATATACATTTGTGTTATCGAATCCTTGTTTGAAGTCATTATGTGTTCGGTTCGTAGTGTTCATATTGAATTGATAAGAAAATGAGATTTGATTCATCTGCTTCTGGCCGGAATGATTGTGTGATTCTTTAATTGAACTATACGTGATTATATCGTGATGTTGTATGAGTAAATCGGAACTCTCGTAATCGTGTTGAGTTATGGTTGAGTCGATTTATAGTTGTTTAAAGGGAATATGAAAACACTATTTTTAAAATTGTGGCTGACTTCTGTTCGAGGCCGTTTTTGACCTCTAAATCTCGACCACATGTGTTCAATTTTATCTGATGAAATGTACTTCAGCTCCTTAGGTTTCATGTCGAGCAAGAATCGCGTGATTATCATTTTTGTGCTGAAAATTATAGACGATATACGGCGAGTGCGCATTCAGTTTTTGGTTTTCATTGTTGCAGCAGCTCGTCTGTTTTTGTCACTATTTTTGAGTGCAGGATCTTGTTATTTTCCTTTAATGTCTTCATAAAAGTTGTAGTTCTCTGAGTTAGCTTCCGAGAGGAAAAAGAATTGAGTGATTATCATTTTTATTTTGATAGTTACGTCGAAAACTTGAACAACGCGCAGTCTGTCATCAAAGTTTCAAAGGGAAGCAGTAGTTCCTTTTGTTTTGCTGTTTTTGACATATTTCCCTATACCTGGGTAGGTTGATGCGTTCTGATGAAATGTAGTATTTTCTATTGGCTTTCTCTAGACTTTGGAATTTCGATAATCCGATTATATCGGATGAGTTATGATTTTTACAAAAATATCGTGCGTTCAGTTTTTTTCTGTTACCGGGCAGCATGAGTTTAATAATGTGATCATATAAATTTGTAGTCTTCATGAAAGTTATAGGTCTGTTGATTAGCTTTCTAATGAGATAAGATTCATACTGAAATGATATATGTAGCTCGAGTTGTGTCCATATGAATGTAGATATGCATGAAATGGGATTTTCTTGATCAAATGCATGCTTAAATGCTTATGTGAGCTTTGTTGGACAAAGTATTGTTATGATTAGTTGTTCATGGGTGGAATAGTCATTTATAGGCTATTTTATTAAATGTAGGTGCTTGACGAGCCGAGCTCGCCGCCTACACATATTTTTGTGATATCTATCGCTTCGGTAACCAGTTGGGTACATTTACGTTGTATCTATAATTACCGCACTCGTTATTTCATATAAATGTTTGTTTCGATAGCTGTTGTATGCGTGAGAACCCTAGTCTAAGTGTCCCGTCGATAGTGCCTTTGATGAATGCATAATCAGTGAGAGATCGTCTGCCCGTTACATCCGGGAGGGACGCCCCATGTCGTTGCATCCGGAAGGGGAAAAACAGCTCTACTGTCTCCTGGAAAGGATCCTATGCCCGTTGCATCCGGGGTGGGAATGTTTCCGGTTACTCCTTGCTGATGTCTGATCGGAAGGTTGTTGTATGTACATATGAGGTTTGCGATAGGGCCATATAGGGAGTTAGAGCTTGGATTCTATGCATACTTTATTTATGGTTTTGAATCTTTATGCGAGATATACGGTGCGGTAATGGTGAGCATGATGGTTTTGCTCACCCCCATTGTTGTTCCTCTTTGTCTCCTCTTCCTTTCTTTAGGTTGAGCATGTGCTAGCGTCGGCGGCGAGAAGACGATGGAGTGGTGGTCATTCGATGTTGCTTATTTTGTGTCTATTGCTTCCGCCTATGATTGTTCTTTTCGAAACACTTGTTTTATTTTAGATTATTATGCTTCCGCTTTAGTTTTTATGAACATGTTAGATGAACCGATGAACCATGTTGAACTATTTGGTTGTTTTGAGATTATGAATAAGTTGAATTAGTTTTATAACTGAGTTTATGCATGTGTATGATCTATCTATTCGTTTCTTATTTGTGTAATCATTTGGTAGTTAAGTAGCGCCCGTTAATTATTAAAGTTTTAAATTGAGATTTTGCGACAATTTAACTCTGATTTTTATAAATAAATTTTGGTAAACTCTTTAAAATAAAACGGAGTGTTACAGAATTATTTATATAATTCGGACACTAAATGGGGAGTTCAGTAATACTATTATAATGGCGTTTAATATTATTCAAGTATGAGCAAGAGTGGGCTTAGCCCGCGCCCACACTTCGGAGCTCATATTTAGCAACTCTGTCCTTATTGCCTATAAAATACTCCAAGTTCTTAGTCTCCTCTCGTATCATCACGTGAGTTGCTCCAAGTTTTGAGAGAGAATCGGTCGAAAAACCTAGAGCAAAAGAATGAGATAAAAACGTGAGATTTTATAAGGTTCATGAAATCCGACTAGTCGTTCACCACGACAAATCGGAAGGTGAAAGGCCATACAATAGTAGGGCTGTAAACGAGCCGAGCCGAGCTCGAGCTTATGGTGTTTGAGCTCGAGCTCGAGCTCTTAAACGAGCCGAGCCAAGCTCAGCTCGTTAAGTAAACGAGCCAAAAATCGAGCTCGAGCTCGGCTCGTTAAGGCCTCGAGCTCGAGCCTTAACGAGCCGATCTAGAGTTTTAACGAGCCGAACTATAAAAAATTACATAAATTTCACTTTTCGAGCCTTATCGAGCCGAACCGAGCTCGGCTCGTTAACCGAACGAGCTTTAAATGAGCTCGGCTCGGCTCGTTAAGTAAACGAGCCAAAAATCGAGCTCGAGCTCGGCTCGTTAAGGCTCGAGGCGTTAACGAGCCGATCTCGAGTTTTAACGAGCCGAACTATAAAAAATTACATAAATTTCACTTTTCAAGCCTTAACGAGCCTTATCGAGCCGAGCTCGCGTTAACCAAACGAGCTTTAAATGAGCTCGAGCTCGGCTCGTTAAGGCTTCGAACTCGAGCATAACCGAGCCTTAACGAGCCGAGCTCGAGCCGATCCGAGCCAGGCTCGTTTAATTTAACAGCACTATACAATAGACAATAGAAATCTAAAGGTTATATATTTTGACATCCCGACAAATATATACACAACCCCGTAAGTTGTCCGGCAACCACAAAACTCAATGTGCGCCTTCACCGACGACCACCACCACCGATGACGACCACCGACAGACGAGGCGCACATTGGCGATGCACGGCGACCCGCAGCCATCCACTCGCGCGACGCAGTAGCCCCGACAACGCGACACAACCCGTGACCGCGTGACCCGCAGCACCCGACATCCGACGTGATCCGGCGACAGCAGCGTGCAGCGACTAGGCGATCCCATTGGCGATTGACAAGTAGCCCGACGAGACAGGCGATACCAATCAACAGAAATCTACAACGTCTCAGTCGCCAATTTTTTAAACGTAAGTCCTTGACTCCTATCAATAAATTCATAAATTCCGCTGCGATAGTATTCAAAATTGTTATGTTTTTCGAGTTGCACATGAGTCGACGTTCTTAACCGAACCAACACTCACTGAACATAATTTATTGCCTCAATGTGGTCCTTTTAGTGTATCAAAATTTCTCCAGAATAGAGTCCTAATAAGTAACCTGCCATTCAGCCATACTAAATACTGCCACTGAATCAGCATGAACTTCAGTTTCCCATCTTTTAAAATGGTTAGTGAAATATCTTCTCTGTAAGTCAGTGTAGCAAAAAATTATGCGGCAGTTAATTTGCAGTGTACAGGCAGATGAGATAAGAAGGTTTGTTGCTTCATATACAACATCCTTCAATCATAAAAGAGAATAGGTTTCTCTCACATGACAAGTGATTCCTTGCAAGAAACAATATGGATGACTGAGCATCTGAAAAAATGAGGCAAAGATGTTTTTCGTGTGGGTTTTCCGCACCTTTGAAAAAAAAAAAAAAAAAAAAAAAAAAAAAAAAAAAAAAGATGTTACATGAACTGGGAACCTGAAAGATGGTGCTCTTAACAAAACATAACATATAAAACATGTTCCTTTTCCTTATTAGATAGTGCTTCATAACATCTACAGCATATCAGACAGAAAGCTACGATGTGTGTTACCGGGGAAAAGCAAGGAATGAGAGTTAAAACATGGAAAACTGAATAATTAGGAGTATACATATAAAATCATGAAATTAAGTCGAGCAGGGAATGAAGAAGGTGGACGTGATAGCATTACCTGACCCAGGTATCGAACAAGAATATTAGCTCCAAGAGACCAGCCAATAGCATATAAATTTGCATTTGGGTAACAGTTACCAACATGATTCACTACCTCAGATATATCTCCTAAGAATGAAGCTGAATACAACTGCAAGAAACCAGCCGGAAATGACATGAATATCTTATTCGTACTGTAGCAGTCAATTAATTTCAACACAGATTTGGAAAAACTCGTACCTGAGCTGTGGTCACAGGGCTGTCCCCACAACCTCTGCTATTAAACACCACCACCCGCCATCCTTTACCCCTAGCCTGCAACAACATATGTCTCACGTACGTGTCCCCACTACCACCACTCAAACCTGGCTGCAACAAACCATTCTTAAGATGCATTTTCATCTACCATAACAAAACACTAAAATCAAGTCCTCAACTACTTATATATTCATCAATCCTTACTCATTTCTCCTCCAGACTAACAAAATTAACATACATATTTTAGTACTTGGCTAGATAGACGAATTTCAAAACAAATTTAGTAAATGATAACAGCTAAAGTTTGGTCCTTAGCCGTGACAAATTTAAATTTAAAAACAAAATTCCAAACCGACAAGCAAAATGAGAAGGGGAGCATCCGACGGCAATTTCCGGTCGTCTCCGGAGACCCAGTCGAGAGAGACGGCACCGTCGTCCCTAGTGCGGAGACACTCACGCCGGAACTTGACCTCAGGGAGTGACCGGAAAAATGCGGCGAAAATGGTCTCCACGTGGCGATTCCAGGCTATCAAGGGGTAAGGAACGTAAGGAAGATGAAGGGTTTTGAATGCGGGCAGGAATTTGTCCACGGCGCCACCGACGACTTCGAGTGAGGTGTGGAAGCTGAGGGAGGAGGATTGGGGAACTGCAGTAGCAGCGATGGAACTAAGAAAATGGGAGGGCGTACAAAAAGTGAAAGGGTGATGAGTAGCGTGGCGGAGGGAGGAGGAGAGAGGGGTGGTGAGGCCGAGACAGGCTCTCGCCATAGATGGGCGCTAGAGGGTAATGTGTTTCGGGAAGTTGCAGTTGGGGTGAGGGGTTAGCTATTTACCGCCCATGTACAATTTTGCCCCTGATATTTTTCAAAAAAGTTTAAAAATAAAAAATTCGCGGTGCACGGGCGGTTTGTTTCGCCGCTAGGACAGAACCGTGCGTGTCATGTTTCCCCGGTAGGACATGAATGTGCACGTCTTGTTCGCAGGTAGGACGTGACCGTGCACGTCCGCGATCGCCGACCGGACTCTAAATTTTTTTTTATAATCAATTTTTTTAATTTACAAATATTTTTTAATATTTATATATTAATTTTTTTAATTATAGCTATAAAAATATAATTTATTAATACATATATATATATATATTACTTTGCAATTATTTAATTTATTATAAAAATTTATTTTTTCAAACTTCATATCTATTAATATATAAAGAGGGAATGATATTTATTTGAAAAACGATGAAAAAAAATCAGCATAAAAAAAGATGTCAATTCCCGCCCAAAGTGAATAAATGTGAAAGATTTTTGGCTAAAATTTTTAATCTGAGCGCCAACGAATCGATTCAAATTTTTTGGATATTTTGGTTATTTATTTTAGCCTTTTTTTGACTTATCTATTTCTATAATCGATTTTGTAAAGATTTGTCCAGATTTTCTTCTAATCACATGTGCTATATAATCCTATCTATCTAAATACATGATTATCATCTTCCAAAACTTCACGACAGAAAAATACACACATTTATATTTCGACATACACAGAAGAAAAAAAAAATGGCGTCCATCCTTGGTACACTTGAGGCCATCAATAGGGCCAACCAGCCTTTATTGACATTGAGAGTAGTCAACATTTTCGAATCTCATTTCGATCTGCAGTACAAGAACCATTTCCAGATCCTGTTTCATGATAAAGAGGTAAGCATTTCAATTGTTTTATATAACATAAATTATTGCATAAATTATATTAATTAATATACCTTTACATTGTAGGGTGCACACATAAATGGCATCATACATTCACGAAACATGAGATTCTATCGAGATATCTTCAAAGAAGGCGATGTTTATGTTATCAACAACTATACTGTCGAATTCAATAACCGAATGATCAATGGAACCAGCCACAAAGTGGATGCTTGTGCTTAATCTAGATACTAATGTCATCAAGTACGATGGAAATTTTCCACACCACTAACGAGCAGCAAGAGACAATGAAGAGATGCAGCATGGCTTTCTTGGGAAATTATGATAGTTTTATTACATGGCATTTGTAAGATATTATAATATTTATTTGAATTTTGAGGCTATTATTTTTATTATAATATTTTTATTATTAATTTGATATGATTCAAAGTTCATGCGTAAATAATGGTTATTCTAATTTAAATCGAGCTCTATAAATATCTAATGTAGTTTGGTTTGTTTTTGTTTAAAAAACGATTGAATAATGGTTATTTCTTTATATTCAATCAATAAATCGTTTGATTTTTTTGTTTAACTATCTATAAATATCTAATATAGTTTGACTAAATTCAATCCATAAATCGTTTTTTTTTTGTTTTTAATTATGTTTAAAATTATATTTCAAATTTACTAAAAAATGATCTAAAAATTAAATTGATTTTTATGTTAAATGTCGTATAATTTAGTATTCATGATATGCAAATCGATTTTTATAAAAATATTGACTATCACAATGCCAAATATAATATGGGTTACTATAAACAAATATATTAATGAATAATACGATTTTAGTTCATTGTCATTAAAAAAATATATTAATGAATAATAATGATTTTCGTTTAAATTAATGATATACACATCGAATTGCATAAATAAATTAAATATAGATTTCATGTCAATCTAAAACAGATTTACCCTATTAATAATTAATAATTAATAATTAACAAACTAAATATCAGTTACGTGGATTCTAAATAGTATCCTAGGAAATTAAAACTACTTCATAACTATCAATAGGGATTGCATGATCTTTTTTTTTATGGTATTTTTATTAATTAAAATCAAATTTATCGTTATGAAGTTAATAATGATAAGTATGTTAAATAAAGATAAGTATGTTAACATTTAGATAAGTATGTTAAATATTGAGATAAGTATGATAAATATTGAGATATATATGTAAAAACTTTTAAATAAAAAAAAGTTAAATATTGAGATAAATATGTTATTCCGATTTTATATAACAAAAATCCCAATCAATATTTGCCTAATTTTTTTTACGGCTAAATTTTTTGTTACCAAATTAATATCATAAGAAACTAAATATTATGAAAGTAATAATAATTAGGAAACTAACGATTTTTGTTATGTATATAATTAAGAAACTAAATATTCTAAAAGTATAATATTCTGAATCGAGAATTGAGATAAATATGTTATTCCGATTTTATATAACAAACATCCCAATCAATATTTGCCTATTTCTATTTACGGCTAAAATTTTTGTTACCAAATTAATATCATAAGAAACTAAAATATTATGAAAGTAATAATAATTAGGAAACTAACGATTTTTGTTACGTATATAATTAAGAAACTTAATATTCTGATAGTATTATATTCTGAATAGTATCCTAGGACATTAAAACTACTTCTTACCATTCTTCTTGAATATCAATCGGTTTGCTTTCATCTTTTTTTAAAGGTATTATTGTTAATTAAAATTTGGATTTATCATAATGAAAGTAATAATCTAAATCTATAAAATATTTGCATTTATCTACTTAACAAATGTAATTCATGTAATTTTTCCTATAAAAAGACCATTTCGTTTTGTTATTTTGCATTCAACACGACTCACTTCATATACAATACATCATTTCTCTTTTGTTACTAATAGTAATATTAATACCATGACGCAAACTTGGGGCTTGATCGAGGATATCAAGAGGTCCAATAGGCCATTTCTCAAGCTTCGTATTATTCGTATGTTTCAAAGAAGTTCCGAAAATTTTTCAAACAAAAAAGTGCTTGATCTAATTTTCCATGACAATGAGGTTTGTCACAAGTTTCTATTACTATTAATTTACGTGATTTTGTGTTTGTATATATTAATATATTCGTTTTTTTTTTAGGGTGGAAGGATAACGCGTCTCATAAGGCCCATTCATATATCTCATTTCATTGATGTTCTTAAAGATGGAGAAGCGTATGTCTTCAATCAATATCAAGTGGAGAGTAACATTGGCACTTTCAAATCAACAGTTGGCAAATATCGGATCATTCTTCATAGAGGAACCGAATTCTATAAATTGAAGAGCTCATTTCCACTGTTTCGATTCTCTTTTAGAGAATTTATCACTTTGCATGATATAGACAACATCGACGAAGCAATTTTTTTTGGTAAGTTTTAAATTACTTTATATGAATTCTATATTAATTATTAATTATGATTACATGTTCATAAAATTTATCGTGTGTAGATGTTATTGACTTAGTGGTGGAGACCCATCCAATTCAAACAAAAAATGTGAAAGGTGGCCCGACCCAAATGATTAATTTCACTCTTATGGATTTGGAGTAAGTTTATTCATTTTTTTTTTTTTTTTT